CGAATATATTTGATTTAAATGGTAAATTATTTGATGTTACTTAGATAAAATAGAATGGATTACAAAATTATTATTGTTTTGCCAAGGATTTTGTTTTAAACCAATTAACTATACAATAAAACTATTTAAACAACATAATGATTATCGTGCACAAAAAATATAAAAGAAAGATGAAATTTTAAAAATCATACAGCTTATATATTATATCCAACCATTTATCTAAATGTATGTCAAGTCATTCTCTAGTTATATTATCATATTTTATAACTTAGAAACAATATTATTTATCAACTTCTAAAAAAATAAAATTTGAATTTGAACAATGGAATGTTAAAGGGCATGCGTGATACTGAAGAATTCGAACTGATCCTTCAAACTGAGGATTCGATTCAAATTATAGAAAATCGACCATTGCAGAATCCAAAACCAGACCGAAGTAAAATTCGACTCGTATTTGACTAAAATTCGCAATCTCCCTGTTGAATGTGACGGCTCCGTGAACGACCATCTGTAACTTTTCAACATCTATAATACCATCGGCCTGATAAACCAGAATGGAAACGGGATATAAATACAATATTGAATATTATATTGTATAACAATATTATCGTTATTAGTTGTTAATCTTTATCGTAAATCTTAAAATGGTGTATCAATTTATATTTAACACCATCAATTGTTTGCCACCTGTTTCTAATTTAGTGGTTATTAATTTGATATTATTTTTTGGTAAAAGGTGTAATTGTATTTTTATATGAACAAGTACTACTACAAGAGTTTCATTAACCTACATAGATTAATGATCAAAAAATCGAAAGGCTTATAAATATAGTTTATAGTTTGATATTATTGATATGCTCATTTCTTAGATTAGACTTTGGTATTAGTAGGTCTTTAGGAATGTTATTTGAAGATTGTGAGATAATTTGACTTTAGTACTATGAATTGTGATAAGATTAAATTTAAATATAATCATCTATTATTATTATCGTATTGTTGAAATATTATTATTATTCAACTTTTTAAAAAAATGAATTGTTCAATATTCAAAGTTTTAGCAATATACAAATACAATATTGTTAATTCATCAAAGAACTAATAACTAACATAAACAAATACTAAGCCCTAAAACATATTTTTTAGTTTCGAATATATTTGATTTAAATGGTAAATTATTTGATGTTACTTAGATAAAATAGAATGGATTACAAAATTATTATTGTTTTGCCAAGGATTTTGTTTTAAACCAATTAACTATACAATAAAACTATTTAAACAACATAATGATTATCGTGCACAAAAAATATAAAAGAAAGATGAAATTTTAAAATTCATACAGCTTATATATTATATCCAACCATTTATCTAAATGTATGTCAAGTCATTCTCTAGTTATATTATCATATTTCATAATTTAGAAACAATATTATTTATCAACTTCTAAAAAAATAAATTTTGAATTTGAACAATGGATTGTTAAAGGGTATGCGTGGTACTGAAGAATTCGAACTGATCCTTCAAACTGAGGATTCGGTTCAAATTATAGAAAATCGGCCATTGCAGAATCCAAAACCAGACCGAAGTAAAATTCGACTCGGATTTGACTAAAATTCGCAATCTCTCTGTTGAATGTGACGGCTCCGTGAACGACCATCTGTAACTTTTCAACATCTATAATGCCCTCGGCCTGATAAACCAGAATGGAAACGGGATATAAATACAATATTGAATATTATATTGTATAACAATATTATCGTTATCAGTTGTTTATCTTTATCGTAAATCTTAAAATGGTGTATCAATTTATATTTAACACCATCAATTGTTTGCCACCTGTTTCTAATTTAGTGGTTATTAATTTGATATTATTTTTTGGTAAAAGGTGTAATTGTATTTTTATATGAACAAGTACTACAAGAGTTTTATTAACCTACATAGGTTAATGATCAAAAAATTGAAAAGCTTATAAATATAGTTTATATTTTGATATTATTGATATGTTCATTTCTTAGATTTGATTTTGGTATTAGTGGGTTTGTAGAAATGTTATTTGAAGATTGTGAGATAATTTGACTTTAGTACTATGAATTGTGATAAGATTAAATTTAAATATAATCATCTATTATTATCGTATTGTTGAAATATTATTATTATTCAACTTTTAAAAAAAATGAATTGTTCGATATTCAAGTTTTAGCAATATATAAATACAATATTGATAATTCATCAAAGGACTAATATATTTGATTTAAATGGCAAATTATTTGGTGGTACTTAGATAAAATAGAATGGATTACAAAATTATCATTGTTTTGCCAAAGATTTTTTTTTAAACCAATTAAGTATACAATAAAATTATTTAAACATCATAATGATTATCGTGCACAAAAAATATAAAAGAAAGATGAAATTTAAAAATCATACAACTGATATATCATATCAAACCATTTACACTACAAGAAACAACAAAAGAGTGACGTAATTTTTGCGTCACCCTTTTATATTTTTGCGTCACCATTTTCAAAAGGTGACGCAATAGTGATGCAACAAAAAACGTCACCATTCATACCGTCACCAATTCAGATTTCGTCACCAAACGTCACCAAAGGGTGACACAATAGACTCAAGTTTTGCGTCACTAAATAATGACTCAACTTTTGCGTCACTAAATAATGACTCAACTTTTTAAAAGGTGACGCAATAGTGACGCAACAAAAAACATCATCATTCATACCGTCACCAATTCAGATTTCGTCACCAAGCGTCACCAAGCGTCACCAAAGGGTGATACAATAGTGACTCAACTTTTGCGTCACTAAATAATGACTCAACTTTTGTGTCACTAAATAGTGACGGAGAGAGAGATCCTCGAATCGCTCGACCATCCGTTTCTCCCTACACTCTACGCCGCTATAGATTCGCCGAAATCGTTGTGCCTGTTAACGGAGTTTTGTCCCAGTGGTGACCTCCACGTTCTCCGTCAGAAACAGCCTCACAAACGTTTCCACGAATCCGCCGTCATGTAACACTGTCGTTACTGTTTCCGATCTTTGAGAGATGTAATTGGGTCAAAGGTTCGGTAAACTTCCGAATTGAAAAAAAAAATACAATAAAAGTAGATTCAATTTTATTGAGGAAAATAAAATAAATAAATTTATTATTGGTTTTTTTTAGTTTAATAATTAGAGGGTCACACGATTATCATATTTTTTTCTTTGTAGGGGCCTAGAGATAATATCTCTTTGTCACATAAACGGAAAGAAAAATTCTGAAATCATGGAGAATCAAATCCTCACAAATTATTAAAAAAAAGCATATATTCACACCAAAACAGGAAGGTATGGGTTTTACGTAAGTGTGATGACGAGATTCTACTGTCTTTGAAATATTGGGGCTTTTCACTATCAACATGTTCATACCATGTTGAATTGGGTCGTACAATGAGTTAGATATCTTATATTCAGGCCAGAGAAAAGCCTTGCTAGTATCGCTTCTTTGGTTTATCCATTAACAAAAATAATACCCCTGTCATTTGGATCCACATACACGGAAGTTTTATGGGTTGTTTTTAGGGAAATATGTTTTTGAAAGATTACACCCTAATAAATAGTAAAATACAATAAAATATTCTAGATATGATATTTAGGTTAAATCATAACTATACTAATGATAATATTCTAAGTATAATATCTTCCTATATTAAATATATATTATTTGGTTGATTTCTACGCATTTGTTTTCAATTTACTAATTTCATTATGTGTATAACATATTATAAAGTTGAGCTATAATGAAATCGGTAAATCTATAATAAATTCATGTATATTTGAAATAAATTAAACGGAACCATGAATAAATTATCATAACTATATACACATATAGTTTTTGTACGAAATCGTGTATATTTTGATAGTTTACCCTAAAATATTTATTGAATTAAATAGTCAAAAGTATTTTTGTCGGCTATAGTTAAGTATTGATGTGGATAATTGATTTTTTTTCATCATACATCATTGTCATTCTTCAAATTCCGATAGAAACGTGAATACATATTTTTATTAATTCTTTCGTACGTTATGCATTATTATAGTATTTATACATATTTTTATGTAAAAATATATACGCTCCATTTTAAGTAGAAGTATTCACGTGAATTTTTCTGTTGTTTTGAAAGATATAATTAGACGAAATGTTCGAACTTCTGGATTATATCACATATATATATATATATATATATATATATATCAGTTGCAATGGTTGTAATTACCAAAACACTAGAAAGTAATAATAAAACAATATACATAATTACAAACTCCCTAAATTATTTGGTGAAAAAAAATACAATAATTTGGTGGTTTAATGGTAGAAAAACATGGAACTCATATTTTTATCATAAGTTCAAACCTAAATATAGAGAGACATATTGATCCAGATTTTTTCAATCCATGTAGTTGGATCAAATATTTGATAAACTTCTGAATTAAAAAATAATAATAATAAAAATAGATTCAATTTTATTGAGGAAAGTAAAATAAATAAATTTATTATTGGCTTTTTTTTAGTTTAATAATTAGAGGGTCATATGATTATCATATATTTTTGTTTTCTTGTAGGGGCCTAGAGATAATGTCTCTTTGTCACATAAACGGAAAGAAAATTTTGAAATCATGGAGAATCAAATCCTCACAAATTATTTTTTTAAAAAAGCATATATTCACTCCAAAACATATAAATAAACAAAGGGCCTAGAGATAATGTCTCTTTGTCATATAAACGGAAAGAAAATTTTGAAATCATGGAGAATCAAATCCTCACAAATTATTTTTTTTTAAAAAAGCATATATTCACACCAAAACATATAAATAAACAAATATTTAAAGAAACAAAACAAGGAATGGAAACTAATTTTTAGTTTTTAATATTATTAATTCATTTATCAAATTATAATGATATTAAAATTTTACGCAAACACATTAATTACGAAACGCGGCATAAATAACCCCGAAATTACGCTTCAATGCCATCCCCCAAATCCCTCATCTCTCGGCCCAAAAACCGACACAGCTTCTTCATCATCATCTCCAAATTTCTTCTTCCCATCTCTCTCCTTCAGAGCCCAACACTCTCTCTCTCGAATCGAAAATGGAGCCATGGGCTGACGACCTCGCCGACGATTTGCAGAGCGTGAGTTTCACGTCTACCGGCACCACCGTCAACCGGAGTACCAGCTCCGGCTCTCGTTCCTCCTCCTCCGCCGCCGGAATCACGCCGGCCACTTCAGCTCACAGCTCATTCTCCTCCTCGAAACTCCCTCTCTCTCTCCGGTCGTCTCTCTCGCTCTCTGATCTCCGGTTCTGCCTCCGCCTCGGCTCCGGCGACATCGGCTCCGTCTTCCTGGCCGAGCTCAAATCCTCCTCCGTCTCGGGAGATTATCCAATCTTTGCCGCGAAAGTGATGGACAAGAAGGAGGTCGCGAGTCGAAGCAAGGAAGGTAGGGCGAAGACGGAGAGAGAGATCCTCGAATCGCTCGACCATCCGTTTCTCCCTACGCTCTACGCCGCTATAGATTCTCCAAAATGGCTGTGCCTGTTAACGGAGTTTTGTCCCGGTGGCGACCTCCACGTTCTCCGTCAGAAACAGTCTCACAAACGTTTCCACGAATCGGCCGTCAGGTAACAGTGCCGTTACTGTTTCCGTTATCTCCTTGAATTGCTTCTTTTTGAATTTTTTTTTTCTGATACATTTTCCGGGAAAAGAAGAAAAAAATTAAAACAAAATTGAATGGGGGCCACTTTCGTGGGGCCCGCCAGCTGGTCGTTGTCTCCTAGTTAACAGAATTCATGGCTTGTGCTCCGTGCACCGTAGTTACCGTATTATTTCCGTTACCGGCTATAGATCTGTAGGTTTTTTCCGACACTATTATTTCATTTTATTGTTTCATTAGTCTGTAGTTAATGGATTCGAATGTAGGGTTTTGTATTTTTGTGATAGAAAGAGTATGGTTTTTTTATTACAATAAAAGTATGTTTTTATAATGGAATTAGATAAAAAGAAAGAACAGAAAACATTAGATGATTTTGCTTGCATTCAAAGACCCATTTACTGGATGGATCGTATTAGTATGTTGCAACCAGCCATTTCAGTGAAATTTTGACTATTGATTTCGCCTTCCACCAAGAAATTTGTACCTGCGTATATTATTCTCCGCGTCCGCTTGTGTGTTTAATAAAATAATCTTAGGGGGTATGTGTAGTATTGTTATTTTAGTCTAACCAGATGTGTGCACGAACGAAGTGGGAGTATTTCGTGCAGGGTAAACTAAGTAGAGATCTGGTGCGACGCTCGAAAAGTCAAACCCGCAGTGGTTTGACTTTATTGCCCATGTCCTGTCGCATAGCGACACGTGTGCCCTTTCTCCCTGCCTCTGTTCTCGTGCATCGTGTTGGCCTCGCTGGGACCGCGTGGTGCACGTAAATCACGTAGCATGGATGATATATATAATCTATGATTCTTTTCATGGCATGTGACGTGCCTTTACGAACCATAAACATATCCAAACTAGGGCCTTCTTGTCCACATTATTACAATGCTGCCACTCTTGCTCACCTGTCTTGGACTCGATTAAGGACAAAATTCACATTATAGAAAGCAGGGTCCCCAATTCTTGATATTGTTAGGTGTTTGAAGATTTCATTCAAACTCACATATTTGAACATTTTTGGCCAATTGGAGCATCTCTAGGCTCATTTACTCTTAAGTATGAGAAAAATAGATGCATTGGACGTAGACTTGCTTAATTCACTAGACATCACAACCTTTCCTTTTCGTCCCATGTGAAGTGAGTTCTTAAAGGTTTGATTTTTAGTGATGAATCGTACTCGCGAGGTAATTTGGTTGTGAAAGAAAGAACCAATGGTTTATGTGGCAGAAAAGGGACCATATTTCATTGTCAACTCGTCTTTACCTTGAAGGGAGCTCTCGTCTCTTCAATTCTGTCGTGAAACACCAAAGAAACATGCCACAATTACACTGCTTTAAAATTTATCTCGGTTTTTTCTGTGTGTCTTTTAGCCGGATCTCTTGATCCCTTGTATGATTTTAAGGTTATCCTAAAGAAACCAGGTACAGTTTCGGTTCTATATTATGTGTTTTTCCTCAACTAACTATATATTGATTTGTAAAGCTCCATTGCTCTAACTTCTTTGTCTAACTTTAGTTTTCACTCTATGCATAAGGTGTCCATTGGAATCTCTTTTACTTCATTGATAGAAATGTTTAAGTTAAAGGATAATTGGCTGAGGACCGTTACGTTGTAAAAAACATAGGGAATATATGCTCGTGTCATTTTCTTTTTCTCTTTTGTATGAGTTCGTTTGTCCGGTGGACCCGTGGAGACAAACGGGTCGGAACGTGCTTGTCGGGAAGATAGGGATACGGTTAGAAAGAATCTGGGTTCTTTCTTTTGGACCGTAACCAGCAAAAGACATCCTCCGGACAAAATAGTTCGGTATGCCATGAAAACTTGTAGGTCCATTTTGGTCCTGTTGCACAACAACGTGCTCTGTATTATAATACAGAACAATGTCTTGTTACAGGTTTAACGATAACAAAGAAAATCCAAAAGGGTTTCTTAGTATTAAAAAAAAAAAAAAAACCGTGATCAGGCCCCATTACAGCAAAATCTAACTTAAAGGTTCCTTATCCTTATTGCATCTCTCGATTATTATATGTGCTTGTCCTTAATTGAGCTGTCTTGTTGTTATTATTGTTCTTATCGTCTTAATGTTACATTCTACGTTTAGTTTACTGCTTATGATTGTTACATCTTCTATCCAGGTTCTACGCATCGGAAGTGATCGTGGCCCTCGAGTACCTTCACATGATGGGAATTGTATACCGTGACCTGAAACCCGAAAACGTTCTGGTCAGATCAGACGGGCATATCATGCTTACCGACTTTGATCTCTCCTTAAAATGCGATGATTCCGCTTCAACGCCTCAGATAGTGTTGAACCGGAATCAGCCTCCCAACGATTCGTCTCAGCAGAGTAGTGATCACAGGATCATGGATCATACCACTTCCTCCTCCTCCTCCTGCATAATTCCCAACTGCATTGTCCCTGCCGTTTCGTGTTTTCACCCGAAAATGCGGAGACGGAAAAAGAAAATGGGTCATCGTAACGGTCCCGAGCTTGTGGCTGAACCGTTGGATGTCAGGTCCATGTCTTTCGTCGGCACGCATGAGTACTTGGCCCCTGAGATCGTTTCAGGTACTTTCTCTTCGGGTTATCATTTATAACCATTTTGATGGCTTTCTTTCTGATTTTACATGGAAGGTAAAAGATGAACTTCATATTCTTCTTGTCTGAAATAGAGAATAAAACGATGAAAACCGATGTAGAGCTAGTGAAAATACACCGGGATTTTTCGGAATTTAACGTTTAGAACTTCCAAAACGAATCAAAATGTGATCTTTTTCGCGCTTCACAAACGTTACTATTACTTTGTTGTTCACTCGAAAACGCTAAACTCTTGAATCACATTACAAAATATGATCTTTTTCACATCAAATTTAAATTGCTCACTCGAAAACCTCGGATTCTTTCTACCCATCATCCGTTTTTTTTCAATCAGTTTTACATTTTTATGGACATTGTTTCATAATGTTTTTTTTCACCGTGGGCAGGGGAAGGGCATGGGAGTGCAGTGGACTGGTGGACATTAGGGATATTCATGTTCGAACTCTTCTACGGGGTGACGCCGTTCAAGGGCGTGGACCACGAGTTAACCTTAGCGAACATAGTGGCTCGAGCCCTCGAGTTCCCCAAGGACCCGGCGGTTCCAGCCGTGGCCAAGGACCTGATCTCTCAGCTCCTGGCCAAGGACCCGATCAAGCGGTTGGGGTCGAGCATGGGAGCCTCGGCCATAAGACGTCACCCTTTCTTTCAAGGAGTGAACTGGGCTTTGCTCCGATGTACTCAGCCCCCTTATGTTCCTCCTCCCTTTACCAAAGAGGTTGTTGTTTCCCATGACTCCACTCTCACTGTCGAGTATTATTAGCCGATAGTCGAATATATATTATATTTATATATTTTTATAATTTAAAGTTTCAGTTTCTCTTATTTAAATTAAAATCCATAATTTTATAAAATCTACTTTGAAGTGGACAGCTAGTTCAACTAAAAATGTACATCTATTGTTATATTACCAATTAGGTGATATCTCTGTTCGAATAACCGAACATATTTGAATTAAATATATATATATATATTTTTTAAATTGAACTGAAAAATGATGTTTTTACAAAATTTAATATTTTTATCAATAAAAGCAATACCCAAACTTAAACTACTTATCAATAAAAAATCAAATTGTTATATATTTTTATTTTGAAAACCTGAAAAAAATTCAAATCTGAACCTAAAAACAAACTACACTATAAAGATAAAAATAAATTGATATATATTTTTTTGAATTAAAAGAATCAAACCTAAAAATGACCAAAATATGAACATAAAACAATGACAGTTGTCAATGTGTTTGCAAGATGAGACCAAAGTATCACAAACAGATAAAAAGAAAGACCAAAACATCTTATTATTTTTATTATTATTATTATCCAAAATCATTTTCATTTCAGAAAAAAAAAGAAGCTCTTCGTTCACATCAATATCCCTATTAGAATTTTTTATTTGACAAAAAGAATTTGTTATTTTCCATCCGTATATTTAATTATATACATTTCCATTTTGAATATTTAATTTCAAGATATGAAAACATTAAATGCACGCGCATCTCATATTTATATTACAACAGTTTGGTCGGTTGATCCTAGATTTTTTTAGTTATCACCCACTCATTAACTCTGCTACCGACTTTTATTTCTATTTCTAAATTTTAGTCCACAATATTAAAAAAAAAACATTTGTATATCATTTAACCTCGTAAAAGTAAAAGTGATTGAAACATCAACCAATGTCCGATTAAATACCTTTTAAAAGTACCACCGAACCGAATTATAAATTTATATTTTCGAACCTAGAAAGATGAAAGATTATTTTTTATCATGAAAATTAACAAATTTTAAGTTAATTATTCTTCATGTCTTTGTTATCAAATAACTAATATATATACATGCTAAACTAGTAATATATCATAAATATTTGATTATATTCGTTATATAATAAAAAAATTAGAATAAATAAAAATTCATAGATAATGATCGATATATTCCGTTAACAATCATTTTTTTTGGAGAAATGATACAGTCAACATACATACATATATATATATATATATGTTGTATTGAGAAGGTCAATGCGGAGAACATGATCGGCCGGGATTACATGGCTAAAAACAATTTCATAATAATCAACATTGTATTACGAAATGATTTTGGATGCAGACAATATCTTACAAGATCTGCATGTTTAAATATTCTTTGTTTAAAAGGAATATATGGAACAATAATATATATATATATATATATATATATATGTTTTCTTTACTGGTTGGTTACAAATATTTTTCTTCGTTACATCGCACCCATTTTAAATTATTTATTATATATTATTTATCAACTAAATAAATAATTTCATGAAGAGAGTTACGGTTTTGTCCGAGTCTGTGTGTAATATTTAGCATTCCCCACATGTGGTGTTTGAACAACACGGTTAATCATTAGCTGATTACATGAATAATAATAATAATAATACATTTATTTATTTATTTACCATTCTAAAATTTGGTATAATTATGTTATTGTTGTCAATAATAATTAATTAAGATACCTTTATGGATCCTTCTACTTTCTCCTTTGTTTCCTAATTTGCAAAATTGAAATGAAAAAAAAAATCATCCACTTTCCACGTGGCTACGTATTGGACTTATTGCCACGCAGGGATGGATTAGGCCCAAATATTTGAACCTTGGGCCTCACAATAATAACAATTGGGCCTTAAAGAGTTAAATTGGGTGAAGATGTATGTCATAAAGACAAGTATTACGATTAATTTAAATATCAAATAATCACTTAATCATTACCATTATTTAATCCTTTTTCCTGTGCATACTTCGCATGTGATACGTGTCTCGCACGCGCTCGAAGCGAGAGTTGGATTCCTTTGATTAGAATCTGACAGTGAAGACTTTTACTTCGATACCTTACACGTTTCCTTCAAACGGAGCTCCTTCATAATTACCGTATCCAATAATAATTAATTCACACTTTCATTTTTGGAATATGTATAAAATGACATGGACCTCATGAAATAGAAATACACATATTGTATAATATAATACGCAAACATATTTTCTTGGAATTTATGGTTCATCGTGTCTATGTTGCAATTTTGGTAGCTTAGAATTTGGTCAGAGAAAAAATTTAATATATTCGAATACGAATGAAAAAAATAGATTGATTTATCTGGATTTATTAGGGTCACACAAATTAAGTTATCTACATTTTTATTAATTTATATGGATTAATTTAAACAAGTAATATTGATTTTTTTTTATTACCACGACCCGTCCATGGATAGAATCATGCTGGTACATATTTAACAACGTTCATACATACATACATGCATACACATGCATACATGCATGCATGCAAATGTATATGTATTGTGAATGGGGAGAGTTCTATATAAAGGGCACGAGCTCTATCACACACAACACAGAAAACAATGGTAGGGTTGACTCACATTCGTCAACTCACTTTCTTTGTTAACCTGAAGAAAAATCAGGTCCCAATTATAAAATTAATCTCCCTAAACTTTTTACACATTTTTTCCCTTCTATTCCATCATGCATATGTTGTATTTTATGTGAATATATATTGCAATATATTTTTTTATAAAATTTTATATATATATATATATATTGTAGGGTATTTTGGACGACAACATAGATAATGTCTTGAGGCTGCGTAATAGGGATCAAGCCCTTCTCGTGATGAACTTGATCCTCAATTCCTATGTCGACGCCGATACTGCCTTACCCGAACTCGACTCTCTTTTGTACGTCTCTGTTCGTATTTAATTTTCATTTTCTATAATAAATTTTTTATATTTTCTTCGTTTTTTCTATAATTTTTTTTATATATATAAGATTTTCTTCCATTTTTTTTTTATGGGTTTCCCTTTCACTATGTATGTTGATGTATAGGAACCAGGAGGTCGTGAACTTTGAAAAGGCTAAAACTTATGTTGTCGTTATGAAAGCAGGCTCCGGATGGTAATGTCTCTCTCTCACACACACACACATATATACACATATATACACACACATACATACATATATACATATATATACATATCATGTTTGGCTGATGGATTTGTTGAGTTGTCAATTGGGAAGCCTTGGCGGCTGTCGGATGTCTCAAGCTTGTCAAGAGCTTCGCCTTCAGTGCGAAGCCGAGAACAGAGAGAGGTACATTGACATTTCATAAATCGAACCAAAATAATTTTTTTATTTATTAATTTATTTATTAAATAATTTCAGATGTTTGGAATTACTCGAACGTGTGAAAGAAGAATACATCGTCTTCCGTGACTGCCTGAACCACGTTACCGAGGTATTTAATTTACACAATATTTCATGTTTCATTAAAACAACATTCACTTTCAATGAGTTTGCATTTACCTACGAAATTACCTTTACTTACCAAATTACCAACCAAATCTGATATCAAAATAGAATTCGAATTGATAGAAATTGTGTGACAAAATTACATTTTATGAAAAAAAAAAATCGAATATAAACCCCACTTTAAATAATTTCCATCTCTTTAACCTTTAACCATTTTGCAGATAGTACGGAATATTCTCGTCAGCGGAGTTGGATTCCGTCGGGACTGAGGGATCTTTGTCTTTGAGAGTAATGTAAATTTAGACTTTTTTTTTCCAATTGGACCCCAAAATTCCAAAATTGACGTTTAAGCCCCTACTCTAGAAAGCATGCATGATTAGTTCTACAATCACAAAGAAGACAAAGCACAACCTCTAAAACACATCATAATTAGAAAATTTTCCAAATAAATTAGTAAATTTGTTAAAATCTTATTGATAAATACACGAATTTCTAATTTGTTTATGAAGTTTGCTTTGTCTTTGATGCATTCGGACGCATCATTACAAAGGCATCAATTCGTATGCAGGTCATTCATAAGCAAAATCCAATGAGACTGGAAAAATTGATCTAAGGGAACAAAAAAAATCTCAAGAACATGTTACCCTATGGGAAACACTTGTTCTTCTTCCTTCATATCTAAACAAAAATTGTGATGATCATCCAACAATCTTACGGAAAGGCAAATAAGAGAAGAAAGAAGACTTCATACCGATACGATGATTCCCACAGTATAATTCTTAGTCGAAGAGACTGAACCCCATGTCCTGCATCATCATCAAAGTCAAGAATATGAGAAACTTCACGACGAAATGCTGGAAATTAGTTGAATAGCCGAAACCAGAAAATAACCAGCATCAAGAACAGAACAAAAAACAAAAGGGAAACGGGAAACAAATCAAAACGGTTATGGCAAAGACAGTAAGAACAGGCATAAAATCTGGCATTTTGCAAATGGTGATATATGTTTCAAGTAAAATGTAATGTAAGAGTGAAATTTTGAAGGAGAAGATGGGGCTTTACATCATCAGACTCTTCTTTCTCTTCCTTTTTCTCTTCCTTCTTCTCCTCGGCTGCAGGAGCAGAAGAGCTGCAACCGCCACACCACCACCGGATGGCACAGATGCCAATTTCTCCCTACCAGCCGCAATCAGTTCGGTAATGTCCTTCCCGCTGACTTCTTTCAGGAGAAGCTCAATGCTTTTGTCATCAACCTCGGCACCGACTTTAAGTAAACAAGAAATAAGAGCTGGTCATGATTCCATTCGAGGCACCATGGTCACATAATCTAATACTTTTGTTTCTTCTAGTTGAATGACTCCACGAACACCCAGAAATCTAATGACCCCAAAATCAACAAACTTTTACTTTAATTTAAATCATCTCCAGGAACTAATCTGAACTAAACGCCTAATTACAGAAGCAACGCAGAATGCTAATGAGCAACCTAAGAACAACCGCTTCAGAGTTCAACTCACTGTCTAAAAACTCGCGAATCTATCATTACGGGATAGGGAATCAGAAACGGGAAAAAAAATTGAATTTAACGCAAAAATGCGAAGTCCAGAGATACTTTACCAGATTCAAGAATGCCCTTGATGTCAGCGGCAGAAGGACTAGCTTTGCCTCCCAGAACGGCGAGCAAGAACGCAGCGACTACCTTCATTTCTGCTTTCGAACAATGAACCCAAGATGAACAAGACAACAGATTAGCAACAATGGCGTTAACACAAAACTACAATTGAATTCGGTCCAACAGGGAAGACAAATACCCGACAGATTTAAGAAACTGGAGGAAGAGGAATTGCCCGAGAATTGACCCGAGGAAGCGACGAGCTAGGGCTTTCAAGTTGGGAAGCGTGAGGAACAGACGGAGCGGAAGGGGATTTATGTGATATGTATAAATTAGGGTTTTGAGAATATTGAATCGTGGCCGTTCATTTTAATGCTTCCAAATTCCAATTGTACCCTCGACTTGGTAGTGTTGTTGGAACGCGACCGGTTCAATCGGCTGAACCGTGAACCGGCCACTGCTGGATTCAGATCCGGTTACGATTTTCAAAAATACATAAATCTGTTTTTCTTTTCAAAGAAAAAAGAAAGAAGAATTGAATTTTGGGATACTCTTGAATTTTTTTTTATAATTGTTCAATTAAATATATATATATATGTTGAGTGGGCCGAAAATATTTGATAATAAAAGTTCAACATATTAATTCCTTGTGGTCGTCATGGCCCTCTTAGCAACAGAATAAACGTTATCACGATGTTCATTATTGTCCAAAAGTCTATGTTGTAAATTTTTTTAATGTTTTTTCCCCTCGTACGTTAAATTTTTTCATTTTTTTTTATAAACTGTCACTCTGTGTACGTTTTTCGTGTAAAAAAAGAGAATATGATTAGGACCATTTTATAATATTGGGTTTAGGTTATGAATTTAAAATAGATAATTTTTGTTCGATTTCATGCTATAATGGGCCGGTTGATGGTGAATTTAAATGTGAGAAATTTAAAGAGTGACAGCAGTAGGTAGGGGGGACACGACAGCCATGGCACATGAGCATAATCATCATGTTCGCTCACCATGTGATCAACCAAAAATAAAGAGAATAAAAAAAGGAATAAAATTGATTCAACGTCGGTCCAAAAACATTCAATGTGATATTCAAAGTTCTAACACGGCAGCCGTATACTACATGTTTAGATGTCTATACAAAATGTCCTACACATTTTGTAAGTTTGCTGCTTTAATTCGTGGGTCTCACGGTTCTTGCGTACATATTTTAAGACAACATAAATTTTGTTCCGAATTTTTTTAAATAATTTGATGCATCGTATGGTTGGTTGAATCAAAATATATATCACTGAAACGGAAACATAGAACCGCGGTATTAGATTATAAATACGAGATATAAAATATATTATCGTATAGATTATTAGAAAGATATTATTATAGTATGAGTATTGGTCCATGACATAGGATCACCAAAAAAAATGTACGAGAGGTCAGAAATTAGATCATTGGTTCAAAGGTTCCTAACATAGATTTCAATCGATGGACATGGTCTTTGTGAAATTCATAAAAATAATAATAATAATAATAATAAGAACAAGAAATTCCGATATCCCGATCATCCTTTTTGAAGCAAGTTAAAATAAATTATATAATGATATCATCATTAAAATAACCAACACATAAGTCTTTTAAGACAACACGTGGAATAATTTCGGTGACACGTCGGAAGTAGTACAACAATCCCAATACATTGATTTTGTGTGTATATATATATATATATATTCTATTTTCTAAGCACGTGAGTGACGAGACCATGAATATGCGTGTTTATCATATAGTCTTCCCAATTAATGCATCTGGGATCGAAGTTGAACAATCCCTCGCCTCTCTCGACCCGTAATCGTTCGCTGTTTATGTCGTCAAATCTGCGAAGAAAAATTAAAAACAAAAAATATTAATTATTAATATTACAAAACAAAATCTAAATACCATTTTTTTTAATGAATCCTAAGTTTAAACCACCATTATTACAAAAAAAAAAAACAACTATTTAGGGGTTCGGAATAAAAATGTAAAAGAATGGTGTTAAGACATACATGCCCTTGAAGAGTACATAGGGCTTGTAAAGCTCCACCAATCGCATCACCAGTTTGATTTTGCGGTCGGATTCTTTGTATTTATCTCCGTATCGCCATGGATAAATTATATTAATCAACCATAACAACTGCCACAAAAAAATAATAATCAGTAACAAATATTATAACCAATAATATTAACAATTTTTTTTTAAAAAAAAAAGAAGATTTCCAACATGCATTGGTTGCACAAATCCATCACTTTCTCTTACCCCCAACTTTAAATCTCATAATTTTCAAATTGGTACAAAAACTTAAAAACAAATAGGCTGTAAACGAACCTATAAAAGTTAAAGATGGATATGAGAGTTTTTAAAAAATAAAAGGACTGATTCTGTAATTTTAGAAAACTTGAAATTTTACGTACCTGCAATGGAAGCTTGTAACGGAGGGTGATGTAGAGGCTGAACCAAAGCATGGAGGGTATGATCGTGCCATTGGAGACGACGATGGGCGAACCGTTACGACCGACCAAAGGGGTTTTAGTGAAGTATCGAGCGGAGAAATCGTGAAGCTGTCCGAACGTGACGGGGTTTTTGCAAGAAGAGCCGACATGGTACACCTTTTGAGCTTCTGAATCGCTCGCGTTCGCAGCTGCGGCCACGATCATTGCGTTCGCCACCATATCCACCGGTATCTGCATTGTCATTTCATCAATATATACACACACACACAATATTAATTTAATGTAGTAATCTGTAATCAATGCATGGTACGTAAGGTGAATCACCAGTATAATATGTATGTGCAGATATTGCATGAATGCTAATACTAATTAATATGGCGGGGACGGGCGGGTACCCGAATTTTTTGGCGTATTCGATTTCGGTTTCGTCCTTTTGTATTTTTTCGTTGATTCTATTTCGGTTTTCTTGATTACAAATAATGTTTTCATAAGCAGGACCGGTTTATTTCATAAAATTTGTTACCGTTTTGGAGCGATTTCTCTAAGGGGAATTGCATTAAATTCGTACTCACGAGATCGAAGACCGAGTTTGGATCGGCGAGAAAGCATTTGAGCCTTCCTTTCCCGTACGCAACAATCACGCTGTCGATGGTTCTGTATGCACCCGAAAGATCATATCAAAGAAATGAATATAACATTAATCTTATTTGAGAGTTAATTAATACCAAATCATAAACTCCAAAAATGAAGCACAATTAACAAAGAGATTAGTGGATAATTAATCACCTCAAACCTTCAATCCAACCAGGAAATGGTTCAGAGAGGGTGCTTGTTATCATCGTGGGACGTATAATAACGAGAGGCATACTCTCTCTGTGACTCCCCAACAGCATCTCTCCCATTGCTTTGGTGAACACATACGTGTTTGGCCATCCATGAAGCTTTGCCCTAATTATACACCATTTTAAACCCGGGAATAAATCAATATATACACACATATATATGAATTGGATCACGTTATTTCGTTGCGAAATCTACAAACGTATATATATATACCTTTTCATTCCGAGATCTTTCAGCGAATTTGTAATTTCTTCTTCCGAACACTCTTGGTTCCGAAGTTCTTTCAGCTTTTGTCTCATCACTTCCATTTCCGTGCTTATATCCAATTTGTCGTTTCCGTTCAGAGTCTCTCCCATTGCGAATGGTTTCTCCATTAAAAGCCCCGACTTTTCTCCACAGACATAAGCTATCAACAACGGAAACAAAACTTGGTTTCAATGACTATATATATGATACGGAAAAAAAACATGTGTGTATATATATACACATATATGTATGTATGTATGTATGTATGTGTTTGTGCTTGTGTTTATATGAAACAAAAGAATTCTAAAGGGCTCACCGGTTGAGACATGGAGAAGCAATTGTGGGTTGACACAACTTTTGGCGAAGTTGAGGACATTGAGTGCACCGAATGTATTGATCCCAAGACCAACATCATACCTTTTTTCAATAAAGAATTGAAAACAAATTTCAATTTCAATTTCTTAATATATTTTGCAACAAAAACCCTACCGAAATGAAGCTTTCAACGTTGCGGTGAAAATCATTCGTAACGACGATGACTGAAAAGACCCAAAAATAATAATAAATGTGGGTAATAATTTTATTATAGGGCATTGGGCATTTAATAATTTATTCAAAATTCATAAAATTTAAAAAGAAAACAATTCTTTTTTATCACACGTGTGGGACACGTGACCCCATATTTTTTTATTGGACCTTCGGCTCAACTAATCTCTCGATGTCAGAATATTGATATCAATAATAATCATGTAAACAACATATCATGAAGTCGAATATATTGGTGATTGGTCAGGTGGGAAATATATACTAAATCTTCACACACCTTTCATCGAAATTCGTGGTGGCGGCAACATTCACAACGACATCTATATCTTTCCGCATACGTTGTTTGAGATCGGAGTCGCCCACCCCTAAATCGTCCACCGAAATGTCGCCGGGAACCGGCACTACTTTTTCCGACACCAGTTTGTTCAGATTCTCGACACCAAGATCGTTTCTCAACACCTTGAAAAGATCTTTTTCAATGACCTGTTATAATTAATAGTAAACAAACCACATATATATTTGAAAATCGTAAATCATTCTTTAAGTAAACTAAATTAATTGATACAATGTAATGGACCTCATTATTTTTCTAATGAAATGTTTGTTTGGATTTAATCAATTACCTCGCTACGTAAACGTTGCATGGCTGCTTCCTTGTCGGGTGCTCGAACGAGAAGGTAAAGCTTCTTCACATTTGGTTGTACCCTCAGAATTTTCTCCACGAAAACTATATTTTATATTATTTCATCAAGATATATAATTAGTGATGATTAATGTTGAACTTATACATTAAATTTTATCAATCTTAGATCTCCAAGATCCATATAGTGACGTTTCCACAAATTTCGCTATCTTCACTTGGAGACAGTCAAGGTTGCAAAAGAAGAGTAGTTTTACAATTTTTAATTTTTTGTAAGAAATTTTTTTTTAAAAAAAAAAAAACTGTAATACCCTTATCTGACAGGCTTTTAAATTTTCGAGCCATTTACTTTTATCATTTATTAGGGGCAAATTTAGAATTTCATCGAATAAATTTCTTTGAAATCGTAAAACTGTAACTTTAAGGAGAAAAAAAAAACAAAACAAACGAAACTCTAAAACCAATATTGTTTTTTTTATATATATAAGATTTGACCCAATGAGATTTTTTACAAAATAAAAATATCAGCACCAAGTAACAACATAATTATAGTAACCATGTAAAATATGGACCCAAAATATCTTAGACGATGTTTAGTTATGTAACAAGCAGCACAAACGGCTTTTGGGCTATTTTTCCACATTTAATAAAGAATTTTTGTTTTCCGTATATGATATGATTTTAATATCGAACTAGAAACATAACAACAACAAAAAATCGTACCCTTTGCGAGGAAACCAGAAGCGCCCGTGACGAGAATCGTCTTGTTATGAAGAAATTGGACACAATTGGGTTCCATCTTAGAAGCTCAATGGAGGAGAAGGAGAGGAGAGTTCAAATGGAAGGTTTGAGCATATAATAAAAAAAAATGTTAATCAAAAGGGGTTTATATAGATAAAATGAAATGGAGACCCATATATATAGTTGGTCCATGTTAGCTAAATTCAGATCCACCTACATTCATTAGAATATGAAAAGAAATAAATGCATTCAACCACCCTTCAAAGAAACGTAGCGAACTCTATCCTTTTGGTCCTTCCATTTCAGTTCCATAAAAGTGAGGCAATTCCGGTTCACTGCTCACATTGTTCTTCTTTCGAACATGAGGGTAGGTGTGTCAATCAGGTCTGCCCGGTCCGAGCACGCACTCGGCTCGAGGGTTTCGGGTCCGGGTCGATCCGAATTTTTGTGGGTCTAAACAACTCAATCCCGGCTCTATAGATTTCGGGTTCGAATTTAGGTTCGGACGCTTAATTTGTTCTTTGTATATTTTTTTAAAAAATGATTATCGGTCTTTTGAACCGATCCAAAATCCGATATGAGTCTGATCCGAAAATACAAAAATTTTGGGACCAATATATTTAGGCCTGAAGTTCGAAAATTTTCGTGATGGGGTTTCGTACCAAAATTGACACCTAAAATGTGGGAAAGATAATATGATTTGTATTTAGATTTAGATTTTGGTTCGGTTTGATTATATACCGATTTAACCGGTTTTTATTAGTTAATATAGACTTTATTTATTTTGCAATTGGAACCGAACCAAACACTTAACTCCTGAAGTCTTGACAAACATATTTAATAACTTCAAATGTGGATATTTCTATATATTTTTTATTTATTTATGATGCATTCAATAACGTTGTACCGACTTCCTTTAAGGGATAAATACCAAAATCATAATCTGAGACAATTTTTTTAACAACAAATCTAACTAATTATCTACTTTTATATATAATTATTCGGCCATTGTCTTCCAAAATCACAATTCAAACCACATAAAAGGAGTTTCATTGTCGGTATAATCACAAGCTTTAAGACACGAGCTATTACATTTGGTTTGATTTGATTTGGTTTATTGCGGTTTAATTTGGTTTATATTTTTTTTCAAAGACATTATTACAACATCAATCAACATCAATTGATGTTTATATAATGTCTTTGGAAACAAAATCCAACCATTAATTAGTTTTCTTTGTCCGAAATTCTCAATAAATAGTCTATGGGTTGCTTGCTGCTTACCATCTCTTTTCCCGATACGGCGTTTGCCATAGTCGGTGCAGTTTTGGAAGATAGTAATTTTTTTCAACAGTTAGGTGGTAATGATATTAAATATTGGCATGTATAGTCGACAATTCGAGTTCAATGAATCTAAAAAATTTATACGAAAAATAATTCGAGTATGGTATGGATTTAGATTCACATTGGACAGTTGGAAATTCTACATTAATGGGTTTCGATTTTTTATATTTATATTTTTTGTTAGCTCATCTACGATAGAAATTCATCGCGCATCCATTTGGATTGCAAGCATATGTCATGGACAATATACAAAAAAAAAAACAAAACAAATAGTAAAATAGGTATGTCATGTTAGCTTGGATATCATGCTTCATCAAATGTCTTTTTCATGCATGGAAAGAGAAAAAAGCAAAAGATTTACGTGGAAAGGAAACGTGCGAATACATACATACATATATATATATATACATATATATTAAGAATTGACAAACAACTGCTAACTTCTAAATGTGGACATGTGCCATTTAACACCAATTTTTTTACAAAAAAAGCTTATAAAATACATTTAATGAACTATTCTATCATGTTTTGGTTTGGCCGCCAGATCAAATGGATAATGATTTGTGTTAATTAAAAAAAAATAGACATTTTGAAATTTCTTGCAATATCTTATGAAAACTGCTACCTAAGACTGAAATATGTTTTTTTTTTGGTGCGTGTGTGTTTTTTTTTCTGGTCAATTAATAAATTGGTCGTAGATTGACTGAAAACATGTGACTAGTTGGGCTTTCTTGAAAGCAAACACATAATCTCAAAAAGATGTATGGAAATGGTACAATATTACTTAGATAGAGATCTTTCCAAAATCTAACTCATTAAAATTCCAAAACCCTAATTGCCCATTATTGAAGTTCCAATAATGTAAGTTGTGGGAGAAAACCCAGTTGAGTTAGTAAGTATTTCGCCTTTCAACCGAGAGATTACGGGTTCGACTTTTTTACGTCTGTCGCCCATTAGTTAAGGTTTCACGTGTGTGCCGCGCGTTCGTACACGTGGGTAGAAATTTATCCAATCACTGCATACGAAGGATAACCGGTAAGGTTTCCACGATAACAAAACAAATAATGTGATTTCTGTTTTTTTTTTAATAATCCGGTAGTTCAACGGGCCTTTGGCCCGACTACATCTCCCAGAGGACCGGAAAAGTCCAGGTGAATGCCCCTCCCCACGCTTGGATTTGAACCCAGTATGAGAGCATGCTTTGCATGTTCTCTAACTACTAGACCGCCCAAACTTGGATAATGTGATTTCTGTTGTTCTTGAAAGATCTTCGATATAGTATATTTTCCATAATTCGATCAACTATATAATTTTTTTTTGTTGAAAGATCAACTATATAATTTTAATATAAACTAAAAGTTTTTTCTTTTTTATTTTTTCTATAAAAACAAAAAAAAAAGGTTTGGAAAAAAAATAAGATTTTAAAAGTTTGGGTTATATCGGGGTTGATTTGTGTGGCTAAAATAAAATCATATAGTTATTAAAAGCGATTCTCATACTAATCTAATTCTCGTGATTTTAAAGAGACTTGTTTTTTCACCACCTTTTTTGTTTGTTTTTAATTAAAATCGAGAAAATATTGCATGTAAATTTGATTATTTGAAAAAAAAAAGTTGATTCAATGTAACTGTATACAAAAGAATTAAAACTGAAATATAAATTAGTAATAGCAACAAATCACCACCTTAATCTAAGTTAATTTGAAATCCCAAGATTTATGCATAGCTAGTCAAGTTTTGAAGACCACGTCAATATCTAAATAAATGGTTAATATAATAAGCTTTTCCTCAAACTTGTACCTCGTCTCTTTTTTTTTGTGCTCTACAAAAATATTATTCATAATTTCGGTATACATATATATACATATATCCAATACGAGCAGTTAAAACAATAATAATCTAAACATCTTTTTACCATTTACGTAAAATAAAATGGGATCTAAACATTTGATGTAAGATAAACCTTCGCTTTACATTTTTTTAATATATGCATTTTTTTTACCCATCAGTGAGTGGGCGAGTAGTTGGAAGGGTGCGCTCGAAGGGCCCCGTCCACCGTTCGAATCCAGTTGATGGGGAGGAAGGGGTGTATTTATCGTCTGAGGGGGTGTGGCTCATAGGACCCCTCTCGGCGGTCACTCTAAAGGCTGCTTCCGGGTCCAGGAGATGTAGGTTGGGCCGAAGACTCAGGTGAACCTCCCGGTTAACCAAAAAAAAATATATGCATTTTTTTAAACACAAAGCGTGCATTCTTTAAAATTCACAAGAGTTTTTTTATTTTATTTTTTAGGCAGAATTAAAAAAAAATCAGAATATCAGAACTAGGGCTGGACACAAATACCCAAAAATCGGGTATACATCGGATACTCGTCTCACGGATATCTGATTTTAGAGTACTCGTAATTTTCAAATCCGGATCCAAATCCCAATTTTTTAATACCCGTAAATCCGAATCCAAATCCGAATAATAGAATTTTTAAAACCGGATACCCGCGGGTACCCGACTATTATGATTATAAATAATTATATCTTATATTAATATAACATTTTTATAAAATATAATTATTTTAGATTAAATAATTTCATATTTTTTAATATTAATTCAAAAAAATAAATTTATTATTATTTATCTCTTATTTTCTCTTTTGTCTCATATATTTTATCATAATTCATCAATTTTTATAAATATATCTTCATTTTTTGAAAATTTTATATATGAATATTGTTATTTTTCTTAAATAAATCCGGATCCGGATACCCGCGAATACCCGACCATTATTCCGGATATCTGTATCCCGGATACTCATAAATACCAAATCTCCTATACAAATCTTATAGTTAAATACCCGAGCTTCTCGGATCCAAATCCAAATCTCTTAATTTTTTCGGGTATTCGATCCATGCCCAGCCCTAAGCTGAAGCATTCTGTTTGGCACCGCTGCTGTTGACTTACCCGCTAGAAATTTAAGGAGTGATGGGTGGCGAGGCGAATAATAATAATAAGCTGTGATTTTGGTGAAGTAACATGGTCCAAGCTAAGCTACCAAATTTTAGGTTATATTACGATTTGAATTTCGTTATATATTTCTTTCGTACGTTCAATAATGAACCTTCCTTTAGTTACACATTTCTTTCATAGATTCTATTATAAAACTTTCGCTAAAAGTCCATATTTAATATACATAGTCCTAATTTTTAACTATTCACATAAAAAATAAACAAAAAAATTGATAGTACATTTTAAATAAATTATAATATGACAAAGGATTATTATATGGATTTATGTAAATTAAAATGAATCAGGCAAATATCTTGAAAGAGTGAACTGCTTATGCTTGGTTTCGGATTAAATTGAGAAACAATAATAAAATTGACTAAATTGTAGATTGTCTAGTAATATAGATATTTCATTTTTATTGAAATTAATATATGCTTCAAAATAACATTAGTTATAATTAAGAAACAAATTATAGAATTTAAATTATAAAAAATATATTATAATATTAATATGGGCTTGCCCATCACATTTAATGTCACCCACAAGATCCTGACACCGTTTCTCAGCCATTATAATAAAAGCATGAGATAATTTGAAATTATGGCCAAATGAATGAAATATCAAAGCCGACAATACAGTTCGTACACTTTATTTATAATTTTGAATGATAAAATCATCAGAAAACGTATTTAACCAATCCCGGAATATGGGTATTGAGAAAATAATCATCCCAATTGATATTCTTTGGATCCAAGTAGAACACATCCGTCTCTACTCCATTCTCCATGGCCTTTTCCCGTAATTTTTCCATGTTCGTATCGTCGAATCTGTATATATATACCGGTTAGTGTCGATATTTGAAATCTAAAATCGAATCAAGCCGAATTAAACCGGAACTTACACTCCGTAGAAGAAGAGGTAAGGCCTATAAAGACCGACAAGCCTCGTTACGAAATTGATCCTCCTGTTGAGATCTCTACATTGCTTGTCCAAAGATTTGCAAAGAGCCATGTTAACCAATTCCAATCCCTGACCAAACCAATGACCATACCGATACGTACCAAAGCGGTTATTAATTTCAAAATCTAGAAATAAAGAACCGGGAATGTGTGTGAATGTCACACCTTCAAGGGAATTCTGTAATGCAAGGACATGTATCTGTGGAAACTAGGCATTGAACTCAGAATCTTGATTTCCCCTACACATCTATTATTTGATTGACTAATC